TGGTGGTTTGGGCTAAGGTTTACTTTGTCCATAACTCCTCCTTTCTACAAACTTGGGGTGCCCCTTGGGGCCCAACCCAAGCTAGTACACCAAGTACTTATATACATACATAAGCTCTCTTAAAGTTTCAATGTGGGACAACCCATTTTCAAAGATACCCATATTTACTTCTTTAATTTTCCATTCCACGAACCCGAAAACGACGTCAACTTCCCGTTCACTCATAAATGGTTTTGACGAACCGTCTTCATCATGTGACTTGTCATGCGGCAAGGAATACGTCACCTCTTCGGACCCATCCCAAAAGACATTTGGGGTCCACTCAAAATTGGGCTCAAAGTTGGCCCAAAATAAGCCTATAAAAAACCAATTTTCCAACAAAATGTGGATACGTTTTTTAGCGTGGAACCGTCCGTGGCACTAAGCCATGTGGATATTTAACACATAACATTAGGCTAATAGGAAGCACAAAACAATTTTGATGAAATAAACAAGGGGATACATAAACAATTAGCTCCTATATTCAATAGTTCCTCAAAATGCACAACACAGTATTGAGAAGTGCTTGTCCAATGGTCTAAGATCTACTCAAATCCTTTTACATCCACATTCCCCTTTTAGATTATGGGAGAGGCAATAGAATATTTAGCTTCTCAGACAGATGCTATATAGATGCTCATTACCTCCATAGCTGTTGCTTGAGAGCACTTGTTCAACCTAGGCCTGTAAACGGATCGGGTATAACCTAAATTCGATCTGATTAACCCGGTCTATTTATACAAATCCAAATCCAAATATCTGTTTAATCCGTATCTGCATAGCCCGATTTAAAACGGGTCGAATTTAGATAAATCTGATCCGATCCATTTGTTTGCCCAATCCAACTATATTGAATTCCCAGAAAGAAATTAGGGTAGTGTTTGGTAGAGTTTTTTAAATATGATTTGAGAATAGAGTTGTATTTTGAGTTTGTGAGTTTTGTAATTATGATTTGAGTGTAGAAAATTTGTTTGGTTATGGTTTTTGAATAGAGTGTTGAATTGAGTTTTGAATTGTATATGGAATTGAGTTTTGAAAGTTTGATGTGACATGTGAAATAAGAAAATTTGTTTGGTGATGAGTTTTAAAAATAGTTTTCAAAACTTAATTCAAATTGTTATAATTCATAACCAAACACACTACTTAAAACTCTATTGAAAATTCTGATCAACATTCATAACCAAACTTTTTTTTAAAATTCAATTAAAAAAATTAATTATTAACAAAAAATAACATTAATCAATTTTTTTAATTGAAAATATTAAAAAAATTATCAACGTAACCAAAAAATTATCAAATAATAATAATAAATACATATAAAAAATCATACATTATCAAAACTATTTTATTATATTTTTTTATTCCAAATTTTTTTAATTTAATTTAAAAAAAATATTTTTCATCCGATTTCTAATATAAAAATGTGGGCTCTCTACCCAACAACACATCCATTGTCTCTGACTCCACCTCTCTTCAAAGTGTTAATGTGCTGTTAATATAAGAAAGAGGTATACATACATATATAGAGATAGAGAAACAGAGAGTGTAGAGTTTCTTCGGACAAGGCAAAGTGTAGAGGGGTTTGAAGTTTTCCAAGTACCAGAGCAGAAGAAACGAAGTTGGGTTATGAATGAGTGAGACTTTACACCATTTCTACTACCCTCTCTCTCTCTCTCTCTCTCTCTCTCTCTCTCTCTTGATGAAAGCTTCAGAGACTGAAGACATGCTTGTTATCATCTATCAAAGAGTGGCGGTTGACCGGCCGGTCAATCAGCCGGAAGTCTGGGTGGACGACCGGCTCAGTTATTTTTTCCCAAATCAGAGAACTCATTCCACCTTCTCAGCTATTTCACACCAGATCGATTGAAGGATATACGTATTAGCTGTGAAGCATCTTCAACGTGAAGCTTTTTAGAAATAAAGAAGACCAAAGAGAGAGAATATGTACGTTGCAAAAGGTGGAGAAAATGAAACGGAGAGAAATCTTCTAAACAGGAAAGGGAATTACATTTTCCAATGTGTGGTGAAATTACATTTTGAAAATTCTATCCAAACATGAAATTGAAATGGAGGGGTGGAAATACATTTATAGAATACAACCAAACACAGCCTAGATCTCTCACAATCAAATCTCTCTCTCTCAGCGTCGCTTTCATCATCTCTCATCGTAGAATTTGAAAAGTGCATTAGGTTTGAAATCAGATCTCTCATAATCAAATCTCTCTCTCATCGTCTCTTCCTGCTCCAATTGATGACGATGAACTTAGCCAAATCGAGTTCTCTGTTGTTTATGATCTAGGTATTCTTCGGTGAGCTCTCTAGTCAGTATCAAATCTCTCTTTCGTCGTCTTCTTCTCCGACTTCGACGAAACAAGCTCAGATCAGGAGAGCTCAAAATCAAACTATTTCAGGTAATTGACTTTCTAAGCTTTCTTTGAATTTTTGGCTTTGATTTTTGTTTTGTTTTTGATTCCGAAGCTTGAGCTTAGGTTCCTCTAGTTTTTTTTCGATTGATGTTCTTCGAGTGGATCTAATGTATTTTTTTTGAATTTTTGTTTTGAGGGTTTATGGTTGTGCTTCGTTTGTGTTTGTCATTGTATCTGCTTTTTACTGCTATGTGCTTGTGTTTCTTCTTTATATAAGAGGTATGGGTTGCTTGTTTGAATGGAAAATCAAATTCTGAAACATTTTCTTGGATGTTTTTGGGACTATTTTAACAAGTCTAGGAACCAAACATAGAAAATAGTTCTAGTTATACACACATCAAATGGCAAGACCTGCTATTAAAGAGACCATTTTACTTTAATTGTGTTAACTACTTTTTTTTTTCTCTGGTTGATTTTGTGATTAGTTTTGTGTTTTTAGACTTATTAATATTATTTTCATGGGTTTTATTGGGCGGATGTGTATTTTTTTAAATATATTTTTGTTACGTTCAATTTTCTACATGTAGTAGACCAAGTCCAGAAGAAAAAGTAGATAAACAATTTTTTCGTTGCGTCTGAATAATTTTTTTTTTTTCTTCATAATTTGCATGCATAAGTAGACAAATTATACTTGTGGTGTTGTTTTTAGTAGTTTGGATGTGAGGAAAAACACAGATTCTGCAAGAAAATTGGAGCAAAAAGATCAGAGTTTTATTTTTATCTTTCATCTCCAAAAACCATTTCAGAGTAAAAAAATCTAGTTAGCTGAATTTGTACATAACTTCAGTCCTAAATCTGTACAATTTTGGTTCTATTTTGGTGCTGAATTTGAAAGATCATGCATCAATTATTTATGTTTGATTTCTTATGCAGTGCATATTTGAGTTTTTGAGCCAAAGATGTCTTCGGATTATAGCGAACCTATTATTGCTGATGATGCCGAGTTGGATGACGATGTATCTCAAGGACCCACAAAGAGGATTCGAAAACTAACTTCCAAGGTATGGAATGACTTTGTCAAATTTAAAGGACCTAATAGAAATGACATAGCTAGATGTAAGCATTGCAATAGGGAATTTATTGGAGAGAGTAGGAAAGGGACTAGTCATTTAAAAAATCATTTGTCGAAGACATGTCCAGTACTTAAAGGACCAAATGCCCCTAGGAATGCTAGTAAGGCTGCTTCTGAATCTACTCCTAAGGCTGCAACTTTTAAATTTGATCAAGAGAGAAGTCGTACGGATTTTTCTAGGATGGTAATCAAGCATAATTATCCTTTTAACATGGCTGAGCATGAATTTTTTGAAATATTTTGCAATAATCTTCAACCAATGTTCACATGTGTTTCTCGTAACACTGTTAGGGCAGATGTCCTTGATGTTTATGAAATAGAAAAGGCTAAGTTATATCAATTTTTGGATGAACTCTCTTCTAAGATCACATTGACAACTGATATATGGACTTCAGACCATTAGAATTTTACCTATACATGTTTGACTACCCATTATGTGACTAATGATTGGGAGTTAAAGAAGAAAATCCTTGCTTATAGACACATTGATTACCCGCATGATGGAGACCATTTGTTCAGCTTTATCAAAGATCTAATTTCAGAGAGGAACATAGATAAGAAGTTGTTTTCAATGGTAGTCGATAATGCAACAAGTAATGATGTCATGGTGAGACTTTTAAAATGATGGCTACGTGACCAAGGATTACTTCATTTGGGTGGACAATTGTTTCATGTGCATTATAGCACGCACATATTGAATTTAGTTGAGCAGGATGGTCTAAAGGTGATTGGGAGTCTTATTTCAAAAATTCAAGAAAGTGTGAGATATTTACGGAGGTCTCCTTATGGAAAACAAAAATTTGATGTTGCAGTGAATCATGTTAAGTTACATCATAAAAAGAAAGTCCCCATGGATATTCCTACCAGACGGAACTCCACTTATTCAATGCTTGAAGCTGCATTAGATTTGAAAAGTGCATTCCACCGCTTAGGGCAAATTGACAAACAATATAAGCACAATCCTTCTGAGGATGAGTGGAATGTAGCAAATGTGATTTGTGGGTGCTTGAAGATTTTTTTTGATGCTACATCTCACTTTAGTGGTACCACTTTTCCGACTTCAAATGTGTTTTTTCCCGATATTTGTCTTATTCAACTTGAAATGAAAAAATGGGAGCAAAGTGAGTATGATTGCATTCGATTGATGGCCGGTCCAATGAGAGTGAAATTTCAAAAATATTGGGAAGAATGTTCTTTGGTGTTAGCAATTGCAGTGGTTCTCGATCCGAGATTTAAAATGGACTTGGTGGAATACTACTTTGGGCTTATTTATGGTGTTGATGCTAATAAGCATATTCAGAGGGTCCATAACGGTTTTGTTGATCTTTTTTATGAGTGTAGAAGCGATTCTTATGATTCTATGAGTTGCATTGCACTTGTTTTTGAAAATAGTAGTACAAGTAGTCAATTGCTTGTCGGTTCTTCAAAACAAGAAAGTTTGGCAGCTTTTCACATGTGGTATGCCCAAGAACATGCTTCTAACATTCATGCCTATCAAAAATCAGAGGTGGAGCAATACTTGGAGGAGTTGGTGTTTCCAAGTAATGAGAGCTTCAATATTCTACATTGGTGGAAAGTGAATAAAGCAAAATTTCCTACTTTGGCAAGGATAGCTCGTGATGTTTTAAGTGTTCCTGCTACTACGGTTGCATCAGAGGCGGCGTTTAGTGTAGGAGGTAGGGTGATTGATGAGACACGTGCTTCATTACTTCCAGATATTGTGGAGGCCTTGATCACTTGCAATGATTGGATTGAATCAACCAAAAATAGAAGTAAGTGAAATATTGAAATTTTTAAATAATTAGATGTTATTTAGTTTAGTTCTATGAATATCTTAATGTCACATTATTTTCAAATTGCAGATGTAGAAGAATGCAGACATGAGTAGATGGATTGAATTGAATCGAATCACTTGAAGTAGATGGGTAAATATGGTTCAGATTATGGGGCTTGTCCCATGCCTTTATAGTGATCAATGAAATTCGTATTTGACATAATTTGATAATCTGTTTGCATATTAAGGTAATAGCTTTCTTGATTTGCAGGTTTGATAATGAGCTTAACAAAGCGGTTGCTATTAAAGTTATTGACTTGGAAGAATCGTGAGTATATAGCTTTAATTATCTCTCCTCTATACAATTTATTTGCTCTCTCTCTTACTAGAACTGCTTGTGGTGAAATGTGGTTACATAACTTTTCTTCTTGGAAATGTGGTTAAATTGTTTATATGCACTTTTATAACATCTCTAATTGATAATTTGTTTTCTACCTTTGAATGTTTACGTCATTATGATGCTCTTTAAGTTCACAGAATCTTGCCTGTCGTTGGTTATCTTTGAAGCTTTTGGGATGCATTGACGAATTTGAACCACAAAGATCGACAAGGACTACTGCCTCCTAATAGCAAATTCTTGGATACAAGCTTCATGGTTTTCCTTGTATTCCAGAATCTATGAATCTGAGTGATCTGGTTGGAAGATTGTTCCTGCTTCAAACTGGATATACTGTTTTTTGGTAGATGTAGCAACTTTGAAAAGAGTTTTAATGTTTTTTCAATTCCGGAAAGTTTAACTGGTTGCATAAGCTTTCTGTAAGAGCAGACGTTATAGTGCGGTAACAACGATGTTATATATAACAGCAGCTGCAGGTCTTTTGTACCTAACAATTCACTTTGAGAATGTTTAACTTTCTTGTTTTCAGAGATGTTATGCATTGTATATCAAATCATTTTGGGTTTGGTTTTACTTTGGGCTTTTGTGTGACTTTGTGTTAGGTGATGGGATATCTAATCCAGGTGGCTTTTGAGAATGTTTTTGTGCTATATCTAATCCAGGTGGCTTTTGTGCTTAGTGAACTTGATGTCAAAATCTTATAGGATCAAAATTTAATGTATATTTGTTTGTATGTGAAGAGGGTCAAATTGTTTGTATATCAGACATTGTTTTTTTATTTGTATATAACCATATGGACATTTTGTTATGCATGTGTTTATTGTGATATTACAGGTGGATGAAACTAATGAAACCTTGAAGGAAAATGGCAATGTTAGATCCCTATACTTCTTTTATTTATTATTTCTTAATATAAATTTTCATTTAACCTTGAAATGCCTTTCTATATATATATAAAGAGATGTCTGTTTGAGAAAGAAATATCAGTGTTGTGATCTGGGATGGACAGGACCTTAATGTCCTTTACATTTGTGGCGTAAGCCTGGTTGGAGCAATGTTCAGCAAATCCTTGGTATTGGATTGGAGTAAATATGTTTTAACTTTAAATTTTATTTTCAAATTTCAGGCTTATAAAAATGACAATTGTTTATGATATTATAACTTTTCATGTAATTTTTTTTATTGGGTTTCTCATTATGTATCATTTTGCTACTACTGGTAGGGCCTATGGTTGCTAACCAGAGAGAGAGTGAGACAGAGAGAGAGGAGAGAAAGAGAGGGGGGAAAAAAAATTAAAAACGGATCGGATCGGATTATACGGATCGGAAATCGTCGCAAATAAATCCAACTTCAAAATTGCGCAGTTCAGGCTCCTTTTAATCAGTAGAAGAATCTTGCATTTGAAGGGAGGCTTTCATATCCTATTGCCTTGGGTAGCAGAGTTTCTGCCATTATCTCTTGGGATATGCCATGAGAATTACATTACATTACATACTCTTTAAGATATATGTCAATTCCAATTATATACATTTATTAGTGTTCCAGGGTTGTTTTTCTTGACAGCTTTTCTTTCATGGCTTGTGTTGTTTTCTCTATGTAGGTTGGTGCTAGCTTTATGGATGCTTGCATCTTTGGGATGATTAAGGGTTTAGTTTTTTTGTTTTAGCTTTAGGCCAGCTTAGGGAGGTTTTGTCCATTTGTGTTCCTGTTAATGTTGTTTTCATCTATACTTGCTTTTTTGTTTTAGGTTTTTTAGCTCTACTCAGATGAAGGATTGATCTGTATGCTTTTTGTATATATGTCCCCTTATTATGTTCTGTCCATTTTTTTTTTCTCCAGAAAAAGCATTGAATGTGTTAGATACTGGAAAAAAAAAATAGTTTTGTATAATCTTATGAGTAGTCGAAGTATTCAAAATTTGATGTTACAAACAATCTTTTTCTTTTATAATTGGTATTTTATTGACTTTATCTATCAATGGGTGTATTATCCACAAAACCCTTTGCCTCCTCTATCTTATCCTAATCTTCCATTTCAATCTTGATCTCATCCCACTGTCTGAATCTGTATCTGATTACTCAACTTTGGTCTACAAGGGTTGTGCAAAGCAAGAACTATCAGATCCAATTGGGGTTTACTCACAAGCAATCTCAACACTTTTATGGTCTCCGATTTCACAGTCCTCCAATGCCAAGTTCTTCAAAACCACCATTGGTAGTGGCTATGGCTGCTAACCACACAGAGAGAGAGAGAGAGAGGGGAAAAAATCGGATTATACGGATCGGATATCTGTTTAAAATGGATCGGATTACACGTAATCGGATTTTTAATATTCAGATTTGGATTCGGATTAATGGTTAATCGGATTTGATCGAATTTCGACTGATCCGACTTGGATCCGACTCGTTGACAGGCCTAGTTCAATCCATTAGGTTATCGTCATTTTAAGAATCTTCTTCGATGCAGCTAACTTGGCAGGAACTTCACGCCAAGCAGTGGGCCCCACATCCGTCTTTTTTTTATATATTTTGTGACTTCTCAGTATTATTATCATCATCATCATCATCATCATCATCATCATCATCATCATCATCATCATCATTATTATTATTATTATTATTATTATTAGGGTGAATTACACTAACAATCCCGATAGTTTAGACTTTATCACTTTGATTCTTGACTTTTTAATTGTGACGTATTTGATCCTAAATTTTGAATCATATTCCAAATAAGGACAATTGAAGGTACCATTACTCAATTTTAATAGCAAAGTCGTCAATTTGATAAAATATAAACTAATTTGATAAAAATAAATGTCCAAAAAATATTTTTGATTTTTTAAAAATTATTTTTACTCACTAAAGATAAAATTATGTAAAATTGATAAATTTTCTAGATATTTATTTATTCATTTTTATCAAATTAATTTCTATTATGTATTTGGATGGTGATCATGTAATCAGTGGATGTTTTTATTTTCATTAAATTAGTTTATATTTTTTCAAAAGTCAAATATGACAACAACTTTGATATCGTTATTAAACCAATTAATTAAATCAAAAAGTCCAAAACTAAAAACATTTCATATATTAAATATATTAATTACACATTAAAAACCTAACAACCACCCATTACATGATCATCATTCAAACACATAATAAAAATTAATTTGGTAAATAAATAAATGTTTACAAAAATTATCAATTTTATGTAATTTTATCTTTGGTGGGTAGAATTATTTTAAAATTTTAAAAATATTTTTTTGACATTTATTTTTGTCAAATCAATTTATATTTTATCAAATTGAAGATTTTGCCCTTGAAATTGAGCAAATGTATCTTTAATTATCCTTATTTGAAACAAGATTCAAAATTCAAGGTCAAATGTGTCACAATTGAAAAGTCAGGAATCAAAGTGACACGAGTCTCAAATTATAGGGACTGTTAGTGTAATTCACCTTTACTATTATTTTGCTAATGTTTTTTTGGTTTTAATTTGAAATGGGTGATTTGGGATGTTCAAAATAAGTATACTTTTTGAATTTTTATAAAAAAAAATATGCAAAAAAGTAGAGAAAATGGTAAGAAAATTAGAGAGTAGATGTTGATAAATGTTAATTGATATGACCCAAATAAATGTATGTAAGTAAAAAAAGTACACTTTTTTAGTTTATCCCAACCACCTAATTAATTATTTGCATAAAAGAATTCTCTTATCAAACATTAAAAGATGTACTAATGTTTTAGCTAATAACCTCTTTCTTGGTTGATGAAATTGAATTAAAGGACCATTCCTCACAAATTTGATGGCATTAAAATCAGTCAAAAAACCCAATGCAAATGCTTTATGTGACGTCCCAAAAATCGCGAACTTTAAAGAATATTATATGAATTAAATGCAGGGTTTATCTAAGGTTAGGAGTCTAGGAAACGACACTAATGAGTCCTATGGCCAATAACTAAGTAAGATCCCAGATCGCCGGAGGAGTCAAGTTAGCCTCCCTTCTAAGTCCAGCTTTCTTAGGTAGCTCACTACCCTTTTGACAGATCTTAAAAGGCATTGACGCAAGGTCTCATAAGCAACGCAGAGATAGGCATAGGATTACAAAGTAAATAATAATTATAGCGTCTCAAATTTTAAATTTACAAACAAGTTCCATTACTATTACAATCCAAAAAGAATAAATAAAAGCACAACTAGACTAATGAGCGAAATGGTTCCAAACTTTCTCTAACGAAAACTTAAGCCTTGAAATGTCTTTGACTCTTCGTTTGCTTCGTACGTTTCTTCGATACCTGGCATGAAACGCCATGAGCTTTGAATGCCCAGTAAACGCACACACACCCCATCCATTTTTCCCAATCCAATACACCATCACAATTATAACAAGCAGGTAATGAAGCATGATACTCATTCAATAATAAAGGATTACAAGGTCAGATGTTAGAAATCTAGAAATCCCCCAAAGAGACTTCGTCCTTCTAACCACAAGAATCGAACGTGGATTATTCGGTATGCCCCCTCTTTTGCTGCTTTGTTGTAGAACTAACCTCAGATGCCTACCAACGGTTATATACTACATAGCACCAACCACAGGGCCTCAAAAGAGACGGTAATAATGGGCCTTGCCCAAATCCCTCCTCATGCCAAATACCTAGGGTCCGAATACAACCGCTCCGTTCAAGGGTTCCGAAAACCACTTGCGCAAGATTTTAACTTCCAAACAGGGAACGCATCCCGTCAATCAATCAATATCTTAGTAATCTTGTCCAAAAATTTGCAATCCATTACCACCCATTAAGTTTCCTGTTTGAGTTAGATAATTTAAGTTAGAGTTAGGACATGATCTTGAAACAACATCTATTGCACAAGTTTGAACAACTAAATAGTACAAATAGAAGGAAATAAGGTTACAACACATGAGATTCACATATGAAGATAGGCACA